TCCACTTTAATTTTACACGACATGTCTGAAAAATGTATCACGGAATATATTTTAATTCCCTCTTTAAATGAAATTAAGATCTTCTTTTTTCAATTTCACATAAGGTATTACATTCATATGCCGTTACAAGTTATATTGTAAATGGTGTTACGTATGTGATTTACTTCAAAAATACCAACGATCTTTTATCTATGTTATTTAATCATTTCACAGAACTCGTGTTTTTGTGATTATCCTCTAATCAAATAAAGTGATCATAATTATTTCATTTCAAATACATCATAATATGTGTCCGTCTTATAATTAGTGGTGCCCAAAACCAGTTTTGGTCTTGTTCTTGTATTTTTGTCCGACCTAGACCAATACCACCTAATTGTATCAGGACCAAGGCCGATTGTTCAAGTTTGAGCATCGTTAAAATGTTACTGAAAATGGTCTCATCAATAGGTTTTTTTTGTAATATCAAGTGACAGGACGAACAAGTCGTGCGCCTGATGGTAGGTAAGCTATACGCCTGTCCATAACAGTTACAGTGCCACTCAGAGCTTCAAATCGCAAAGATCTGAGGGGCACTGCCACTGCGCTCGTCACCCTGAGACATAAGTTCACAGGTCCCATGTGAAATTCATTCACAAGGAGATCTACTGCCAGTAACAAATATTTCATACAAATTATTTCCTTTTGCTTTAAGATACGAATTCGAGAAAGTAAGGCGACGATTTGCCTATAATTGCTTAATACATTTAGTTTCAAGGTGTTTGTAGAGTTATTCAGACTGTAATAATGTAATCAAATGTCTATACCTTAATACCTTATGTAAATAAAATAGATAAGTATACTATCTCAATATATCAGTTATAATTAATGGTAATAACATAAATGAAAGCACGCGCAATAACGCTTAGAATCGAAACATTCTCTCACTAAACACCCGCTACGCTCCTTCGAGCAGAGAGCAGATTTATACCTTAACATACATTACTAAATAAATATTAACTATCATATAAAAATAAATAAATATCTAAAATCAATCAATAAGAACGTATAATATTTTAAAATTACTTTTCGTCATTAGGTTGGCCTTCGTATCTTATAGTGAGTTACATACCTATGTCAATAAGTACTCAAAATGCACTTTGTTGCGTTTTTATACAACCTGAACCAGCCCTCATTGTCACTTTTTCTAGGAACCATTACAATATGATATTTTGATAAGTAGCAATTTGTTAGTTCTAATTCTTTTATGAAGGCTGTGGCAGAATATCACCGGCGTTGTGTAACATTCTGCCATTGTGCTGAGTTACAGACCTTTTTATCTCACACCACTATTGTTACTAAACACTGTGTAGAGCTTATATTTAATTTTACTTATTAATGTGTTGAGATAAATAAACGATTTTATTATTATTATTAATCGCAAGATTTGCGAGACTCTTGCAGGAAGACCGAGACCAGAAGCAAGGCAAGACCAATTCTTGGTGTTGTAATTAGCAACAGTACTTATTATCTTCTAATTCTATTATCTTCTAATCTAAATTTACCTCGTTCATTATTATTACCATCAGTATATCGCATTACGACAATGATTTATTTATATTTAATTAAATAAACATTCAAAATTTTATGTTTTTGCCTTTTTAATCCTATTATCAGGGTTTAGAGCTGCTAACATATTCAACGGCGATATCTTTGCGTTGGTGCCCTGCAACAACCTTTAGTTGGCACTTTTTTCATTCTGCAAAATTCACTTTGCATAGAAAAATTATGAACTGTGTACACATAAAATGAACGGAAAGATGACTTTTCAATAATGCCATTCGGAAGTGTTACAATTTCTCACCTACCTACCTATTTTCTGCTTCAATTTTACAAAAATTATGAACTGTGTACACCTAAAATGGACGGTAAGACAAGTTTTCAAAAATGGTATTCGGAAGTGTGTATAATTTCTTACCTAAATATATCCTGCTACAATTTTACAAAAATTATGAACTGTGTACACCGAAAATGGATGGAACGACTAGTTTTCATTAATGGCATACGGAAATATTACAATTGTTCACTTAGCTATTACAATTTCACAAAAATAATGAACTGTGTACACCTAAAATGGATGGAAAGATGACTTTTCAAAAATGGCTCTCGGAAATATTACAATTCTTCACGTACCTGTATCTCGTTACATTTTCAGCTTGACACTGTGCAGAAAAATATTATGATGCAAAATCCACAAGGGCGACGACGGCACGCACGTGTCCATCTTTACACTTATCTAACATTAAAATTGAACTTACCACTTACAATAAAACGGTTCAAAATACAAAAGCAATCGTGCTGTTGAACCATTTTCAATTATTATCCATTAACATTAATTACTTCCTACATCATTATCAGGCGTGGTAATTGATCTCAAATAGAATAATATTTCTCATCATTGCGTCCCTAATGATTAATAGTCATTATACAGTATTTTTGAACTGAAAATTAAACTTGTGAAATCGACTCGTTAATACGAAAACTAGCAAACAACTATGCGCACGCTCTTTTCAGTGATCCCTTTTATGGAATTCCTCATGCAACATTGTTAAGGTCCACAACAAACAAACTCATCGACCCTACGACATTGACTGACCTGCTATAAACGTGAAGCGTATTGCAGATGGTTCATAAAACATTTTTTACAACTTTTCCCTTTCAGAAAAGACCTGTGGAAAACTGTGGGAAGTATGAGTTGGTATTTGATACATAATCACGACGGCTTGCGGTAACGGATAATATTACAAATACGCTTTTTTTAAATTTCATTTTTGTATTGTTAGTTTTGTATTATGGTATTATACAAACTAATTTTGTAATATTACTATTATTGAATTTTGTTTTATAGGTTTTTTTATGACGTCAAGTGGCGGGACGAACAAGTCGTGCGCCTGATGATAAGCTACACGTCAGTCCATAACAGTTGCAGTGCCACCCACGGGCTTTAAATCGCAAAGATCTGAGGGGCACTGCCACTGCGCCCATCACCTTGAGACATAAGTTGACAAGTCCCATGTGCCTGTAATGTCACCAGCACTTCACCCTTCAAAACCGGAACACAGTAATGCTGACATTACTGCTTGGCGGCAGAAATAGTTAAAGTGGCAGTACCTGGACGATATCTCTCACATAAAGATGGGAAAAACTGCTTATTTTTTTAAACGTTTAAACGTTATGCTTTTTTTAAAAAAGCGTGCTTTTTTAAACGCTTTTTCACTTAAACGCTTTTTAGTTTGAAGCTGACAAAATCGTTTAGAAAACGGTTAAGCGCATAAACTTTTATGTTAAAAAAGCTTGCAACGTTGTGTTGATAACGAAACGCAAGAGTAGACCACTAAAGGTATTAAGATAAGTAAGTTTTTTTTGTAAAAACGAGTTATATTTTTATTATGACATAACATTATTATATTAACATCTTGTTCATTGGCGTTTAAAAGCGTTCAAAAACATAAGTTGTTTAACTTTTTTAGTTGTTAACTGTTGAAATGGAAAAAACTGCTTAGTTTTTTAACGTTAAAACGTACGTTTGAAAAGTGTGCTTGTAAAAGCGCTTTTCACCTAAACGCTTTTTAGTATGACGCTTAAAAAGTCGTTTAGAAAAACGATTAACCGCATAGACTTTATGTTTAAAAACAACGCTTACGCTTAATATGAAAAGCGTGCTTAAGCGCGTATTTTAAAAAGCAGACTTTTTTAAGTGCTTTTCGTTTAAACGCCCACCTCCACTTTCACAAGCAGCTCTACTGCTACTAAAACTCTCTCCACTAGTTTGTTATAAATTAATAACATGTTAATAACGAAGATCGAACACTTAGAAAGACATCCATCGACCCGGCTGAATTCGAACCGATGACGTCTTGTAACAAACAGTGCCAGAAGCTATGCCAACTAAACCACGGAGCGAGCCAGAGGACCTTACCAATTTTTCTATGTGCTTGTTGCAGATCTTTCTGTGTTTCCGCCATCTGTGACAACTTTATTTCTTCAGTTTTTTTAAAGCCTAAGGTACCGGAGGGTATTAAGGCCTAGCTAAGGGAGATTTCAAATAAAATGAAAAATGTAGTCGTTAATCAACAGGTTGAATTTCTAATTAGTCATTTATATTAAGGACTATAAAATAATAACATAAAATAACAACTTCTGCCATAAATAAAACAGGATTAAAACTTTTTAAAAACTTTACTTATAGGCCTTAATTTACTATGGCAGGGAAATTAGGCCTATTACTTCAGCAGTCTTAAATATTTATAATAACTAACAATATTTTGTATTTGAGATCCATAGTCAGGTAAATTAAGTAATTTAACATTAAATACTATAGAAAATTAGATGGATTTGCTGGTCAAGCAGACTGATACCGATCAATTTAGTTGCAGCCATCAGGACACTCAAATGTGTCGGTATCATCAACCGACAAACCAACACATTCTTCATGGAACCATTTTCCACATTTTTCGCATTTTCGCATGTCAGCCATCTTATCTTCTTCGCAAGCATGGCAGTACCACCCTCTTTCCTGCTGCGAGATATCATTCTTCTTTTTTGCTTCAGTTTTCTTCGCTTTCTTTTTATTATTTTCAAAAATATCTTTTGTAATCGGTGTCCCTCTGTAATTAATTGCTTTTTTTCGAATCGTCGTCGTCGGTGTTTTTTGTGTAATCTTCACTGGTGTTGGCATAAGTTGGTAAAAAGGCGTTTTTTTGTTCAACAGAGAGAGCGGTACATCGTCTTCATCGTCCGAATCTGAAAAACAAACCAAACGGTGAAGGTCCCTTCCGGTAGGCCTGGCTGGCGTCAGCTCTATTGCATCAGATGTTGTAGCAGACGTCTCACTTCTTTTAACAGGCGTTTTATTGCTGAAATCTAAATTTTTTTGAAAACTTGTTGAAGTCGATGGCCTGGGAGAATTCGGGTGCAAGTTTTCTTGATTTTCTGGTACCATCTGTGCTGGAACTTCTGTTAATACCGACGGAGCAAAAGCAGTTTCCGGAATTGCTTCAGGATTCAAAAGAAACAGACCAGTGGCTCTAAAGCCACTGGTTATGTTACTATGTGTCATGCATTTGGACCAGACATTAGAAAGTATGACATTAAATCGCGCCTTGGTTAGCTTCTTGTCTGGATTTTGATCCAAGAAACATAAGACTTCAGCATCCCAGTGATGTTCAAATGAACGGTAAACTGCTTTGTCAAGCGGCTGAAGTTCATGTGTTCTGTTCGATGGCAGACAGTATAAGGATATGTCGAACGAATCTGCGACGTCGACGATACTCAGATCTAAATGACAGGCTGCTCCATCAAAAATCAAAAGACACTTTCCAGCACTTTTGTATCTGGCTAAGTGTTTCAAAAATTCCTTGAAAAGATCATTTGTCATATAACCCTTAGCTGATTTTTCTATTAAAGTTCCCGGTGGTAAATTATCGTATAATTCCGGCTTCAGCCTTTTCCCTTTAAATATCACCATTGGAGGTATGGCAGTACCGAGCGCATTTACACATCCCGCAATCGTGACGCTTTCTGCGTGTTCCGAAGACTGCAAATGCACTCGTTTTGCCCCTTTCTGAGCCAAAACAGTTTGTTGGTGGTGGATCGTTAATCGACAACCTTTTTCATCCATGTTGTAGATTCGTTCAGGATGATTTGTCAGGTCCAAATCGTCATAAACTGCTTTTATTTTTGAGAAATGGTCATCAACAATGAACTTGTTGAGTTTTTGTGCCCGCGCCGGGTTCATAAACTGAGCTTTTCTTTTAGATAAATTAGGGTGTCTTTTCATGAAAGCTTTAAACCAGTCCTTGCCAGCGAGTTTAGTGTTTTCATTGAAACTGTGCTTTATGTTATTAGCCTCACAAAATTTGTAGACCAAGCGACGAAGTATGCGTGGTATGACGGGCAATCCTATTTCAGAAAACCTGATAATCCTCTTCACCAGATCATCTTCCTGTTTTTCGTTCAATATGGTTTACCGACCCAGTAATTTTCTCAAACTGCCAGTATTGAGATGATTCCTGATGGTTCTTCTTGGGACCTTATATCTCTCAGCAGCTTTATACGTACTCAGAATTCCCATTTGAACAGCTCGAACTGCTGACACCAGGTCTTCTTCAGACCATAATGCCCGTTTGGGAGGCATTATGGTCGTATTCACTGAAAATAAAATATCCACTGTTAGCTTATTCGTTATAATCTTACATATCTACAAAAGATCTTGAAAGGAGGATAAGACACAGTCATAAAATAATCTAATAAATCACTAAATAAAAGTTAGAGGATAATAAGGCCTATGGAAATTTTTGATAGGCCTTAATAACCTTAAGCCATATACGTAAGAAAAAGAAATATATTTAAATACATTAAGGTTACATTACCTACAAGATTCGAGACCACCATAAGGGTTAAATAAACTAGAAATAGAACACAAAGTCGATTAGCTAACTGTAATATAACAAAAAATACTTACAATTGTCTAGTGTGATTTTTTACTATTCGAGCGGCGCGACCTCTCAACATAGAATTAGACACGGCACTGACGGCGCGGAGCGGGATGAAGTGTGACCTCGAGCTTATAACAACGTGTGCGCACGTAATGTATCTGTGCGTGTGGCGTTTGAGTGTGTAAATACAATATAAGTACGATTTCTGTTCCTTAGGCCTTATAATCCGACAGGCCTTATTACCCTTAGGTACCTTATACTGTCTCACTGCTGCGCGAAGGCCTCCCTCCCCTCTCTCCACACCTCTCGGTTCTGCGTCGCTAAAGTCCAATCTTTTAGTGTGTAACATTTGGATTAGTTACCTACCTAACGTAATATCGACTAGTCCAAGCATAGAAATAAAAGGAGAAGGAAGCAGTCTTCTTGGGAGTGACCGTAGATAGTGAATTTCAATGGTTTCTATATATATCTTCCCTGGCCTTAGTTAGTTCCATAGTATAATGTCCTACGGGATTCTCACGTGGGGTAAACATTCAAACCATAATTGTATTTCAAAAACGATCGATTCGTTCTGTGGACCGTTTAGGTGCTCGGGTTTCTCTCAGAGAAAAGTTTAAGGAGACTGGTATCATGACTGTGACATCACAGTACATTTACTCAAATATTTTATATGACCGTAAAAATATTCATGATTTCAATAAGAAAGAAGATACCCATAATATTAACCTTAGAGCTAAGTTCAAACTCATGGTATGCCACGATTTCGTTTAACCAAGGTAAACGACTCTTTTATGGGGAACTGTATACGTTTTTACAGTAAGATTCCGGAGCATATATTAAGATTATCATTTCCTAAGTTTAAAAACTACATTAAAAATATTTTGATTGAAAAGTCATATTACAAAATTGAAGACTACTTAAAGATATATGGAAACGTCATGGCTCCAGATTCCACACAAATTTGATTCAAAGTGTACCTATTCCATAGCATTTAAGTTTGTTTGAAAAGAGCAATCCCTAGAATTTCTTGCTCGTTCTTCCCAGGGAAGTCAGCGTAGTGAACGAGCAATAGCTTAAATGTGACGTTTTCAAGTGTAAATTTATTTGCCTATGGATTAAAAGGATTCTTTGGCTTAAGCGTCTAGCTCGTCTCTCCATCAACGCTTGAGTCCACTGCATGGTCGTTTCCTGACTTTAGGGATCCATTCTGGGGTGGCTTTCGACTGAGACCCAAGACTGAGCAAGACGCGGCCCGCCCAGTTCCATTTGAGTTTACGCGCTTGTTTGCCCACATCGGTGAGGACGGATGGGTATAATCTTAGAATAATAACGCATAGAATGATAGTTTCATATCAAACGAACTGTCACAAGTGAGGCAAAAATAAAATTCATGTAGGCTAGTTTTAGTAGTAGGTTAATTTTCAGTTTTAGTTAGTGAATATTTATATAAAAATACAAGTTGAAACGCGTTACTTCCTTGTGATGTTAAGTAGTAGGTATCTATTTTATGTTTGTCTGACGTATTTTTACACTCATTTACCGCACATTTCGTCATTTTTAGCCAAAATTCTGGAGCTGTTCGCGGTGCAAGTTGACCTTGAGCACTGACGGCCCGCCCGCTCGTGTAGGCCCTTTGGGAGCGCTTCAATTTGCCTCACTTAGCGTGTGCGGACTAGGTTTCTATGCGTTATTATTCTAAGTGTATAATGCACGAGTCAATGAATTTTCTTTTGAGCCTGAGTCGCCTTTCATCAGATGTTTCATAGATCAATAGCCTTTCCAGGCGTTTTCAGTGCGTTTTTAGTCTCTTTTTTTATTTTAGGTTTTTTTTTAATTTTATTATTGTACCTGGAGTTGGAAGCCAGATATATCGCAGGATATAACAGTCTTACTATAGTAACTTTAAAGAAAACAATAAATAAGTAAGTTAAATCACCAGTTTATTATCAATATACCGTCGGAGATAGATTACCTGACACCCGATTGCGCCACACGTCGGACAAGTAGATTAGTTAGAAATAGTGTTTTTTTGATATTGTATGTATGTTAGTCCCTAAGTCCCTAAGGTATATGTTATATTTATCATGTGGCCTGAACTAAACAAATAAATAAAATAAAATAGTGCAATTACGCGTAACTAGCTAGATCATCAGTCTCCATTTCGGTTAGTGGCCAATTCAAATCCGCGTAATGGCGTGATTTACGGGAATCTAATTCTGCCATCCACTATCTAAAACGTAGCTAAGTGACGGCGAATAACCGTTTTAAATACCAAAAAATAGAGCTTAAAATTCTCTAAATTAAACACTTGAAACTAGCTAACGTGTGCGACTTATCGGAACTCCACTTACTGTGGAAATACGAAAGTCGTAGCCAATGAAATGACGAAGTAATAACGTTAAATCCCTCCTATGAAATTTGGTTTGGTGCTGATAAGCACATTTTACTTATACCATATGTATACTCGGATTTGCACTATCTCCGATGATATGTATATGTACATTATACAGGGTGCCCCTGGGCTATGGGACACGAAGGGAAAGTACTTAATTTATAAAATGTTAAAAATATACTCCATCCTCTTGTATGAAAAAAGATGAGAAAAATTATAAAATAAATTGTGGTTGTTCATCTAACCGATATCTAGGATTTTAGAATACTCTGTGTGAGTAAGGAGCTTTGCCGAATAAAACTGAGAAATGCTAAAGTCACGTATTATGCTCATCATTGAATTTAAAACTTTAAAACTCTCCTCTGTAAATTTGACAATTTCGACATACGATAGTTTACGTAGGACGGGGCGAAAATACTTCTTGTGTACTAAATCTGTCACGTATTCTCACAGCAATAAATCTAATAGTGTCAGGTTTAGGGATCTTGCCGGCCGTCTAACCCGTCCGTGTGTACAGATGATCCAGGAAGAAAAACATTCATTAATAGTCGATACTACTTGCCTCAGCACGAGTTCAACTATTTCCCGTACGGTTCATTTTTCATGGGACGAGCGACAGGAATACTGGCTTTGTTTTAGAATTTATTTTTTTACAAACGAACGTGTTCTGTTTAGTTCAGTTGAAATAAAAAAAAAGTCATTGGTATATGTAAAGTACGTTTTAAATACAGCGTTTACTCATAAAATTTCGAGGCAAGTTTGTGTTTTTTTTTTCGATCATGAAAATTTTTACGAATCGTGTTTTCACACCGTATTCTAATCAGTGTATATACACAATTTTACTATACATTTTTTCCAAAGCAATTGATCCAACACTTTGACTGTTACGCAGAATCAACCAAAGCCATTTGAGGTTGTATTGACTTTGAAGTCAGTTTAAAACGATAATATCGACTAAACTGACAATTTTGCTAAACGATTAGAAGAAGAAAGAAGAGAAGTAGCAGTAGAGCTCCGTGTGAAAGTATTCGTCCAGGGTAGTGCTGCCACCTTACCTATTTCTGCCGCCAAGCAGTAATGTCAGCGTTACTGTGTTCCTGTTTTGAAGGGTAAGAGTGCTGGTAAAATTACAGGCACATGGGACTTGTCAACTTATGCCCCTCAGATCTTTGTAATTTAAAGCTCTGAGTGGCACTGCAACTGTTATGGATAGGCGTGTAGCTTACAATCGGGCACACGACTAAGCTACACGCCTTGTTCGTCCCGTCACTTGTTGTTATAAAAAGAAAGATAAAAAAGCCTTCGCGTCACTTCCCGCAGATTCGCTAGGCGTCGCCGACGGCAGCTGTGGGAATCTCGCGAATGCCCGAGCATTCTCAAAGGCCACGGAAGACTACAAATTTAGACTTAAAATTTTTCGTGTTTCTCGTTAGGTATTTAATGCCAAAAAATATCATACAACATAGGAACATAGGAATACTGAAACCCGCTGCTCACCGAATCGAACTCGGAACGAGAAAACCGCAAGTAATCGGGCCCCAATTTTACGTTCACCTACCCACAAGTCTAAAAAGTGTTACAAATGACGAAGTGCTTTGTTCCCGACTGAAAGACCTTTTATTGGATAATGAATTCTACAGTGTAGAGGAATTTCTTTTAAAGAAATTGTAATTATATTTTAATTTTGCTTGTCAACTTATGTCTCAGGGTGACTGGCGTACTGTTAGTGCCTCTTATATCTTTGCAATTTAAAACTCTGAGTGGCACTGTATTAGTTATGGGATAGCTCACCATCAGGCGCACGACTTGTTCGTCACCGTCACTTGATGTTATAAATAAAAAAAAAATTAAATATCAACTTTCATCATCCCTCTGGACTGCGCATGAATATCCACCAAAGAGACGGTTTTAGGACTAGGAGGTTTTTCAGAAATGGAGTATGTCTAATATATATAATAAAGTATAATAATATATATAATATATATAATATATATATAATATATATAATAAGTAAGTCTAATATATAATAAAGTATATTTTTATTTATGTGACACTTGTAAATTACACACTAGAATAACTTATAATTTAGACCTGTCACCGATATTATCAAACCAGAATTTGATTCTTTCCCAATAGGGATACTGCGTAAGAGTCAATTCTTGATCTATGTTCAAGCAGAGACGGGTGTCGCGGTTGTAAGGCATCCATTTTGTACGCTGGTTCGACCATGTTGGTATTCTGAAATAATAAAGATATGTATTTTCACCTCACTAGCTCGGAAAGGCTTTCTTTCTCGCGCAAAAGCGTTTTTTCCACGCTAGCGTGGTGCAACAATTTTTTTCTTTCGATGAAAAAGAAACATATGTTACGTTCAACTACGCGATTTGTCGTACAATAATAATAATAATATTTGGTAAAATATACCAACGGATATGTATCCGTTTTTTTCCATCTCTCTAAGATCCGTTGGTATATTTTATTCTTATTATTGTCGACATTAAATTGACAGCGATAACTTATGTCGGTAGTCTATTAAAACCTTAGACTATTTCCTTTATTTTTTCCATCCTCTAAGAGTAAAACTGATTCGTTATAGTTCAACTGTTTTTCGTTCATCTACCATTTTCCTCGCTATAGTGAGGTGAAAAGTTATGTGTTTTGCTCGGCAGCAAAGTTGTTTTGCGTCTCTATATTTGAACCACTTGATTCGCTCGTGGTTTAATATTAGAATTCTTTAGGTTTCAATACAAGCCCTCGCGTGAAACTACAACTTTGCAGAAAAAAAATGTTTTCGAGCATTCTAGAGCATTTCTCCAAGATGAGCTAATTTCTTTAATTTAGCTGGATGATCTTCCTTCTTTTCAGAAAAAGTAACAATGATGATAGCAGCTAATAATATATTTGGTTCACTGAAATCTGCTTTCATCAATTCAGTAGTAGGTACACCAGTGTCAGAAACTATCCACCGAAGTCATAACAACATTTTATATAAAACGGCACACGGCCCCGTGTTCAGGCTATTTTTTTTTAAATAGGTACAAAAGGTTAATGTCCCCATTAAGTAAGTTTATGAGCTCTCCAGATACTTTTGACCTAAATTACACTCTAATGTTTTTGTACATTTTTGTTTTGATAAAAAATGTGAGTTTATTGGACACGGATAGTAGTGGCTCTAATCATGTTTCATTTAAAGTGTGAAATTATTCTCACCCCTTCTTGGCAAAACTACACCAAGCTTCGCTAACAAATTTAATTATTTTCTCGTCATTTGCATCACAATTTTCATGCTTGCTTTTCTTATAAAATTGATATTGAAGAATGTCCCCGTGTGTCGCTCCTTTTATGTCAAGCTTCTTCATTATTTTCGTGTTAATATTGCCCGAATAACGAAAATTATAAAGGTATACATTGTCATAGTTGTAAACTTCGCAAAAATTTATCACATCTCGAACGACTATCGCGTCAGATAGAAAATTTATGTATTCTTCTTTTTTCTTGTCATTTATTTGTTTATTTTTAAAGTAAAACTCGTGCAATGCTCGCCCAAGTTTCTTTGATTTTGGACTGTCATGTGGCAAGGACAGAAATCTCGGAATAAATCTTTGTGTGTCCTTAACATATGATATATTTCCATCGCTATCTACTTGAGCAAACGAAGCGCCATCATGAGAGGCTGCGCCTGTCAATAGTGGTAGCTTTTTATGATTATTTTTCAGTATGATAGCTAGAGGGAGTTCTTCAATACACGGCTCAACGCCTTCGAATTTCTTTTCAACAACGGGTAAGAAATTACAATTAAAAATGTGCGGTGGTCGTGACATTTCCACGGTCATAACGGCTGATAATAAATTTTCAACTGGCTCATTTAAAAGAAATTCATATAATTCATTAACGTCCTTTATGTCTTTGCCAAGAAGATTAGCTATTTGTTCAGCCTTAGCTATAGGATTTTCTTCAGTATAGTATAACACATGTGAAAGACAACTCCCAGATTGTCCGATTATTTTGTGAACAAGACCGTCAGTCATTTTCGTAACAAGATACGCCTGCACAGTACCAGCTCCCGCGCTTTCCCCAAACGCTGTTACGTTATTTTCATCACCGTTGAAGTATTTTATGTTATTTTTAACCCATTTTAAAGCCATTATTGTGTCTTTAAACGCAGCATTCCCTGGTACGTTTTTGGTATGAAGGCATAAGAATCCAAGTATGTGAAGTCTATAATTTACGGTAACTAAAATAACATCCTTGTCTATCATATAGTCAGGTTTGTAATAATCTCCATGGCCAAAAAGGTATGTGCCGCCATGAACAAAGAATAGTACTGGGAGTTTTTTTAATTCTTTTCTAGGCAAACTCGGCGTGTATACGTTTAGGTATAAACAGTCTTCTGATCCTTCGATGCCTTTTCCTGAGAACGGGTTCATTTGAATGCATTTTGGGCCTGGTTTCGTTGCATCCCGTAGACCAGACCAGTTGTCTGGTTTTTGGGGATCCTGGAAAAAAGATATGATTAAAGTCAATGTCGAGTATGAAGGGTTTAATCGGAAGTGACAATATTTGCGACGCTTGTTATCTGTGGCCCTATTACACTATCTATTTATTTTAGTAACGAGTAAGATTGAGAGACGTTTACTGCCAGACGCTTTACCCATGCGCTCTGTGGTTCAGATAGGTACTCAAAAGTGTTGGATACTCTCCGTGTACAATACCAAAATGGATTCAGAGTGCGATTGAGACAAGACTGCCGCGGTATTACAATAGCAGGCTTTACCCACTCTATAAAGATATTGGAAGGAAAAGAGAAAATCAGCCAATTAGTCTTTTCGTCATAACAAAATGAACACGTGCAATCGCGCGCGAAAGATCGTTAGTTTAAAAAACTTCAAACAGGTAATCGCGCTCGATTACGCGTGCAGGCCTTCCCGCTTGGAATCCTGTACGTTTCTGATCATGCGTGATAGAGTGACTGTGTAAAGGGGGCTATTAAATTATAAATAATGTCTAAATAAATATTAGACACACATTACGTTGCTCCGGTCCCGAAGTTAAGTAACTAAAGCATTTGTATTATAGAAATCAGTAGCAGAAGAGCTCCTCGTGAAAGAGTTCGTCCAGGGTAGTACTGGCACCTTACCTATTTCTGCTGCCAAGCAGTAATGTCAGCATTACTGTGTTCCGGTTTTGAAAAGTAAGGGCGGTGCTGGTGAAATGACAGGCGCACGGTACTTGTCATCTTATGTCTGAGGGTGACGGGCGCAGTGGTTCGTCCTGTCACTTGATGTTATAAAAACTAAATACAAATACACGACAACAAGCACATAGAAAAATTCGTGAGGTCCACACTGGTTCGTTCCGTGGCTTAGTTGGTATAGCGTCTGGCACGGTATGCTAGAAGACGTCGGTTCGATTCTGGCCGGATCGAAGGATTTTTTTTCTAAGTATTCGATCTTTGTATTAATAATTATAATATATAAAGACTTGAAAATTATATGGTATTATGATGTTATCAGTTTAGGTTGCTCACTCGAAATCTCAGCTTCCCAACCGGAGGTTTAGCATAAGGTATCCCTTCAAAACTGTAATATTTCTTCCCAAAACACGAAATACACTCTTTCCCTTGCAATGTGCCTTGTTCCACTTCAACTTTACACGACATTTCTGAAAAAAATCACGGAATATATTTTATTTCGCTATTTATTAATACTGCTGTGAAATTAGGATTTTCTTTTTTTTTTCACTTAAACGCACTAGATATTATGTTCATATGCAGCTACACGTTGTATTACAGAACACATGTGTTCGTGATTGGGTATCTCGTAATCAAATAAATAGATTATAATTATTAGATTTTAAAGCCATTAAATGCTTACCTTATTAATTACTTATTTTTATCATTATTATCTTAAATCTATTGCATTGGCACAAGGATTTATTTATACAGGATGATTTATTTATTATAATGCCCGCACGCAACCCTTTCGTTGATATTTGTCTTAGTGGTAGGTAGTAGTGGAATAATTTTCAGGTTAGTTTTCGCTACCTAATTTCGGTGGCTATTTTTATTACTTAAAATGGATATTACCATGGAATATAAAATAATTATTTCCGGACACTACACCCGAATATTAAGCAATATTTTATGATAATATTGTAGAATATTTAATTAATAAAAATTGTCACCGAAATTAGGTAGAGAAAACTAACCTGGTGACCATATTCGATAGAAATAATTATTCAGAAAAACGTTACATTGAGCAAATTTCAAATTTTGGATTATGATTTTAAAATTCACCTGTATTTAAGAAAGCTATCAACTACTAAAGTAAAAGGTGATAAAATATTTAAAGACGACATCTTGGATAAAATTAGCCCCTTTACACAGTCACTCTACCGCGCGTGATCAGAATCCTACAGGATTGAGCGCGGGAAAGCTTGCACGCGCTTTCGTGTGTGATTACCTGTTTGAAATTTTTAATCGATTTACTTACTGACTACTATTTTTTGTATATCGGTATGTTACGCGATACCTTTGGCGTTTGTGAACCGTTTCAGACAGACAGGACAGACCGCGTGAAACTGGCGCGTGTTGGAGTGCGCGATGTCGGGCTTACACCGCACAGGCGTGAGACGTCTATCTCCTAAAGTCACGTAAGCGAAAAAGTAAGTATCATTGTCAATATTAGGAAGATCCTCTGTGGAGTCGTAGAATGCAAAGCCAAACGTATAAAAATTGAGTTTGTTTTATATACTTACACATGATTATATTTCCAGACTTAGTAGGCCTTTAGTACAATTTGAAAAACTTAATAAATTCATTTTATTCAAACTTGTAATTACGATATGTAAAGACGCTAAAGAATACCTTTAAAAATGATTTCGCCATTGTTCTTTGATATTTATCATACATTTGGGGTTGGGAGCCTCGGTATTAGAGATAGGCCCAATCATCGAGTATATTATAACCAGAAATAAAGACGAAATGTCATTTAGTTTGTTTGAAAATTATTCTGCGAAATCATCACGGTCACAACAGCGCTCCGATTGGCCAGCCCGAATTCGAAACAATTGACGGGTGTCAATTGACCCATACACTGCGGAACATAATGCTTTTATAATCGTAAATTAAAAGAAAACGTTAATTAAAATCACCAACCATATATTATTTGTTCATAAAAACAACCATTATTGTACTTAAGGCTAATAAGCAAAATTTAAACTTATTATTTACTCCATTCTGGTAACAAGGGAGTTAATAACATTTTTATTTAAAAAGAGCGACCTTTAATGTTTGAAGAAAATATCGCTTATTGTTTGGAAAATCAGGCCATTTATGTAACACATAGGCCAAACTACTTGCAGACTTAAAATTATTATCACAATATTATGCATCCATTATTTATAATTACTAACACCCTTTTTGTAATTCGCTAACATATACCAATGCCAACAACCTTTATTTCCACACATAACTTAGCATCTTCTATCAGGTGTCATTATGATGGGTATGGCATGTAGGTACCTATTTATAGAACAGGCCACACTTTTTCATATTAAATTAACTACTCTTGAATACTACACGCCCTATGAGCAAAGGTCTACGATAGAGATATATTTATTTGTAAACATACACCGTGAATAGAGTTTGCATATTTAAGATTACACTTATAGTTATATAGTAGTAACTGGCATACAAATATTAATAGCAAATATTATACATTGTTCGCATTTATTACAATTACATATAGTCATATTACATTGTATAATTAAAATCACATCGTATTACAGTATATAATTAATATTTGTTAATTGAATAATGTAATTAAAGAAAAAATATGATTTAATAAAAAAGAGGAACGCATGTCAAAGTAATAAATAAATATGTAGACGGCATTGACCTAACAAATGGACATCGGGTCTAATACAAAAACCACGAAAAAAATGTCCGAGGTTAAGCTATACAAACATGTTACATGTAACGAAATATAAAAAACTAAAACATTTAATTTAAATCGTAACGTCATTGCAGTACTGCCTAAATTTGCTTACAACAATTTAAGGGCCCAAAAACACCCTATTTAGCTTCGATTGAAACTACTTGAACACAAGAGTAATGGAATAGCCTTTCTCGTAAATATTAATTTATTTTTTTATGCATATTATTCTGTCGAATTTTGTACAAATTCACTTGAAGGTATAAATAAAGAGTTGGGCAGATACATACATACAATTATTACTACAAATGTCAAAATAAGCGTGTACTATAAGAAATGTACCGATATTCTAACTAAACGTAAACTCAAATATCCGTGATTCCGATTTATAACAAAACCATGACGCTTTCGAGTAATTTTGATACTTAAAAATGGGATATTTTAAAAATAGGGTTAAAATCAAAGCAACTCTACAGTTTTTTTGTTCTAAATATTTCAATCGCTTGTGGTTTGAACAATTGAAAATGACCAAGAAGTTTATATAAGCTTCTTGAAACTGACGTAATGGGTCTCTTTCCATCTTTTGTGCATGCAATGAGTAGAAAAATGGCAGTTAGCTATTTCATTATTTCGTGTACTTTTGTAATTTATATTTACGATTCAGTTACATATAAATTAAGTACTATAAAACTGTACAAAATAACACTTTTAAATGACAACTATGATAACACAATATATTTGTTTAGTGAAAATATGATACAAAATCATGTTTTCACACTTTACTGCAGTAATTTTTACAAGTTATTATTTGTACTGCATATATTGGTACCGCATGATTGACAACCGCGCTGTCACTCGAACAAACGAAGACTATTGCGCGATTAACGCTCTGTTTGCGATTTTAACGCCCTACAGGTGCGGACGCTTTTTAGCGCGACCCCGACCTCCATTTATTGGTAGGTCAATGGTAGAGGGCTTCAAAATTTAAATGTCAAAATCTCATTTACATTACAAAAACAATTTGTCACAAGGGTAACCTATTACAAACTCGAATTTTTTTTATCCGAAATCACGTTTGTTCAAATTTTCATAACACCGAAAACCGAATTATAAAGAAATCGTTGTTCTTTCAGGATATGTTGGATGTTTATCGCAAAGACACGATTAGGTTAGGTTAAGTTAGGTTTAAAAGAAAAAACCATTTTCCTTTCAAAGTTACTTTCGAGGTTATGAAAATTCAAGCAAACGTTATTTCTGGAATGTGTAATTTCGAACTACTGATAGGTAACCTGTCACAAGCAATTCAAACAGTATTTTCTTAAATCTAGACGTAAGTAACATTTTTATATCGTCAGGTAGTAACATTAGTAAGTACATTATATAATATTTTACGCACATGTTATAGCAATTCCTTTGAAAACAAGTAGTAGTGTATATCCAAAGGATATGGATATCGGGTTAAAAAAAGGAACATTTTTTGAAATAAATAAATAACTATGTTTTTTGACAAAAATACACATCTCGAATATACGCAAAGAAGGAAGGGACAATATTCTTCGTTTTGTAAGGGGTTGCAGCTATCTCGCAGACCAGCACGACACATCGTCTTTACGCACTTCTTCTGTAGGATAAAAGCTCGACTTATGTGAACAGAGTTACCCCAGACAACAATTCCATACCGCAGAGTCGAACACACATAACCGTGGTTTTCTGGTCACAAATGTTTTTAACTGGTAAATTGTGAACACAAATTTGTTGATTTTTTCACAAACTGATAAAATCAACATGTCGCACTTAACAACTAATATAGTATTATCTCAAAAATTCCGTTATATTTATATTTTGTCTCAAAAATGCGTTATATTAATAATTTATCTCCAAAATTTCGCTATATTTATGTGTCATTTGTAGATTCAATTTCAAAGTGACAGGACAACACTGTCGCTTTGAAATTAAATAGGTAATATTAATATAACTTTAAGCAATTTTGAGCTAATACTATGTTATTTGTCATGTGCGATGTGTGCTCGGAAATACAGACGTAGGCAGGGCATTCTATTCTAAGTTTTCCAGAATTGTGAACCTTTTTTATCGCGTTTTATATAAAGCGCGTGCCATGTGGGTGGTCCTTAAGGCACCTACCTAACTTGGAATTCATCATAATAGGTTGGAATAAAAAAGTACCTATTTTTATTTCTATTGATGACGTGACACCTGAAAATTTGACTAGATTAACTTATAATTTAGATCTTACACCCATATTATCCAGCCAGAATTTGATTCTTTCCCAATAGGGATACTGCGTGAGAGTCAATTCTTGATCTATGTTCAGGCAAAGACGGGTGTCGCGGTTGTATGGCAGCCATTTTATTCGCTGGTTCGACCATGTTGGTATTCTGAAATAATAAAAATATTTTCACCTTTGTGTCTCTTGAAATTCACATGTTGCCAAAGAATATTATTTTAACATAATTAATAATTGTGAGCAAATTTTTAGAAATCAATTCAATGAAAAAAGGGTTATTCTGTACCAAGTTGTTAATAGTTCTACGAAATGTGACCTAGTGTGACAGGGGGTAAACATTTTTACACATTAGCTGACTGTTCGGGCCAACGAATGAATGTGTTAGCTGTTTAGGAAGCTTCCATAAATTATGTCTCATAATAATACTAATTATAACAGACATAAGGTTTATGTAATATGCAGCGATCAAAATTGAGATCGTTAATTTAAATAAAGTATGAACGTTTCCTTAGTCTAGAGAAATTTTATACGCATTGATGACGAAATGGGCCTTAAATTTTTTTTCCTGTTTGTTTTCCGAACATTGTAAGATAATATTTATTTTTTAAATGGCTAAAGTATTTAAATACGCAAGTACCGAAATAGAAGCACAAATATATTTTTTTTTGTAGCATATAATTTATAGGAAAAAAATTTGTCGCCATTGTACTCAAATTTCAATAAATAATACGCATATTCAAATATAATCAGCTCCGACAATTTCCGAGATTTGTAGAAGAAAATGTCTACATTATTCTCCCTCGATCACTTAGCCACGATGTCACATTCGGTACTGTGACAACGGGGTCCGTATGATGTCACATTTCTTGATTTTAAGGTCGGTTTAATATTTCAAATTTACATTTAAATTATCAAATTATTCTCACCCATTCTTGGCAAAACTACACCAAGCTTCGCTTAAAAACTTAACAATTTTCTCGTCGTTTGCGTCACATTTTTCATGCTTGCTTTTCTTATAAAATTGATATTGAACTATGTCTCCGTGACTTGCTCCTTTCATGGCAAGATTCTTCATAGTTCTCGTATTCATACTGCCCGAGTAGCAAAAATTAAAAAGGTACAAATTCTCAGTGTTGAAAAGTTCGCAAAAAGTTATTACATCTCGAATGAAGTACGCGTCTGATAGAAAGTTTACGTATTCTTCTTTTTTGTTGTCATTTATTTGTTCATTTTTAAAGTAAAATTCACGCAATGCCCTACCAAGTTCTTTTGATTTTGGACTGTCATAAGGCAATGATAAAAATCTGGGAATAAATCTTTGCGTGTCTTCAATATATGATATATTACCATCGCTATCCTTTCGAACAAACAAAGCACCGTCATGAGAGCTTAAGCCGATCAACTGTGGTAGCTTTTTATGATTGTTTTTTAAAATGGTAGCTAAAGGGAATTCTTCGAAAAACGGTTCAACGCCGTCGAATTTCTTTTCAACGACGGGTAAGAAATTAGCATTTATAATGTATGGTGGTCTTGACATTTCTGCAGTCATAGCAGCTGATACTAAATTTTCAACTGGCTCATTTAGTAAAAAATCATATAATACATTAACGTCCTTTATGTCTTTGCCAAGAAGACTAGCTATTTGTTCAGCCTTTACTATAGGATCATCTTCAATAAACAACAAATCTGAAAGACACGTTCCAGATTGTCCGATTATTTTGTGAACAAGACCGTCCGTCATTTTCGTAACAATATACGTCTGCACTGTACCAGCTCCCGCGCTTTCTCCTAATGCTGTTACGTTATTCTCATCACCGTTAAAATATTTTATGTTATTTTTAACCCATTTTAAAGCCATTACGGTATCTTTAAACGCAGCATTCCCTGGTACGTTTTTGGTATGAAGGCATAAGAATCCAAGTATGTGAAGTCTATAGTTTATGGTTACCAAAATGACATCCTCGTCTATAAAATAGTCAGGTCTGTAATAATCTCCATGACCAAAAAGGTATCTGCCGCCATGAACAAAGAATATCACTGGGAGTTTTTCTAGTTTCTCGTGTGGCAAACTCGGCGTGTACACGTTTAGGTATAGACAATCTTCGGATCCTTCGAAACCTTTTTGGGAGAATGGGTTAATTTGAATACATTTTGGGCCTGGTTTCGTTGCATCCAGTAAGCTAGACCAGTCGTCTGGTTTTTGAGGATCCTGAAAATAAGACAAGGAATCTTATCATTTTATAAATAAGTTCATGCTCTGTAATGAGATATTGCATATACGAGGGGCGTTCAATGTATTCTCGGTATCGGGGTCATTAACTAATGATAAGAGTAAATTAATTACCTCATTAGTTAAAGACACTCTTTAAGGGTATAAATATAAAATTTCATATAATTGTCATCATTAGTATTCAAGTTATCAGAGAAGACAACTACAATGACAGACGCCACAATGTTGACGAAAATCGAGCACCGCGCAGTGATTAAATTCCTTACAAAACAAGGAAAGACTCAAAAAGTTAGTCATGAAGAAATGGTGGCTGTTTATCAAGATTCTGCTACTTCGTTATCTACTATTCAGAAGTGGTCTAGTGAATTTAAACGGGGTAGAGAGAGTATTGAAGACGACCCCCGTGCTGGAGGGCCGGTAAGTGCCACTTCTGAAGAAAACGTCAAAATTGTCGAGAAACTTGTATTGGAAGATGCCCGTATCAGAGTGAAAACATTAATTAGCAGAAAAGACTAAGCTATCCGTGGGTACCATTCACACTATCCTTCATGAACATCTGAATCTTTCAAAAGTCAGTGCAAGATGGGTGCCGCGAATGCTCACGCCGCTTCAGAAACAAGTTCGAGTTGAGTGCAGTAAGGGGTTTTTGGAGCTCTGTAGCGAAAATCCGAGTGGAATTTTTGAACGCATTGTCACCGATGATGAAACGTGGGTTCATCACTATGATCCTGAGAGTAAGTTAGAGTCCATGCAGTGGCATAAAAAAGGAACAGACCCACCGAAGAAGTTTAAAGTCTGCCCATCCGCCGGAAAACTCATGGCCACAGTGTTTTGGGATTTTAAGGGAATTTTACTGATCGAATACACAAAAATGGGTCAAAGTATTACTGCCGCAGCTTACGCAAACAGCCTACGCAATTTGAAGGACGCTATAAAGGAAAAAAGACCTCGAAAATTGACCGCTGGTGTCTTGCTTCTTCACGACAACGCGTCGGTTCGCACAGGGTGCGTTGCCAAGGGTGCTGTGAGGGATTGTGGATTTGAAGAAATCACTCATCCACCCTACAGCCCTGACCTGGCCCCCAGTGATTACTTTTTGTTCCCAAACCTAAAGAAAGATCTTCGGGGTAAGCATTTTTCCGACGATGAAGAGTTGAAGGAGGCAATTAATGAACATTTTTCAGGCAAAGAGGAAAAATATTTTTTCGAGGGCATCGAAAAGTTATTTGCCCGATCAAATAAGTGTATTGAGGCTATGGGAGACTATATTGAAAGATAAATGATATTTTGAATTTTTTGTCTATTATTTCATACCTATACAGAGAATAAATCGCACGCCTTTCGTATACAAGAAGACTTCAAAATTATAGTTATTATGGAAAACGTTCACTTGCTGTTCTCAGCTGTTATCGTGCTAATGTTAGTTTACTTACTCGAAACCGCAGCTTCCCAACCGGAGGTTTAGCGTAAGGTATCCCCTCAAAACTATAATATTTCGTCCCGTAACACGAAATACATTCTTTCCCTTGCAACACGCCTTGTTCCACTTTAACTTTACACGACATTTCTGAAAAATATATCAAGGAATACATGTTAATTCACTATTTAACGCTTTGCTTTATTATATTAAGATATATTTTCCTCAATTGAACGCAATGGATATAACGTGTATACATGTACACGTTGTACTAGTAACACTGTTGTTACGTGTGTGATTAGCTTCAGTAATTTCAATAATTTTTATTCATTTTACAGAGCATGTATCGAAAACTTCCTATTACAACGCTTGTGTTTACTTTTTTAAATTTTATAAAAGGAAAAAGCTTTGAAATTTAATAAGAGATGTCTCGGATATCTCCTGTGATCATAGTGGATATAGGTATGAGGTTTTTGACAGATAATATACTTAATTTTTTATGCACATAATTACAGTTGAAGAAATATTATATGCACCGACGAATGTCATCTCTTGGAACGGCGTATCTTTTCTATTACAAGTTGCACTTTTTAACAGTATATACGTACTTCGTAAAATAGCGACTACCAAGTCTTTTCTTACAAATTAAACAAGTTATTTAGGCATAAAGACGATCAAGTTTATAATTAAGTGCCAATACGTAAATGTATGTAAACTAGTTGTTTGCACTATACAGATGACATGTGTGCATTACCGAGACGGTTCACTGTTTTGTCCTATTGTACTTTAACGACGAAGCGATATAACGAATCGGTGCAAATAATATTTCGCCAACTATGCCTGGAAAAGTGGATTTTCAAAAACAAAGGACTTGTGACTTTTCCATACTAAGGTATCATCTGCTTAAAGGTAAATATATACCACATAAGTAACATTTTCCACAAAAAATCTCCAAATTACGTACCAGTCGTAAGAAATTCAACATCTTTCTGCAGATAAAACTCTTATTAAGTATAAATTAAGTTTATAGCTTTTTTGTTATTGAGTTTCACGTGCAGAAAGATAGTGATTTACTTACCATAGCTGTATAAATTAAAGACTTTTTGTGGAAAATGTCACGTATGTGGTTTTACCTTTAAAAACAGACGGTATGTTAGTTAGATTTTAAAGACGTCTATTCGTTCATTTTGTTATCACATTTCAATATCTTTTAAACTTATCTTCAGATCTTAATTTATTTCATAAATCACTTATTTTCATGATACCAAGAGACGGGGCGAAGAAATCGTGCGCCTGCTGGTAAGCGACACGCCAGTCCATAACAGTTGCAGTGCCACCCAAAGCTTTAAATCACTAAGATCTAAGGGGTAATGCCACTGCGCCCGTTACCCTGAGACATAAGTTGACAAGACCCATGTGGCTGTAATTCCCCAGCCCCCTTACCCTTCAAAACCGGAACGCAGTAATGCACATAAGTGCTTGGCGGCAGAAATAAGGATCCTTCTCTGGGCAAACTCTTTCACAAGGAGCTCTACTGCTGCTTATATGTTTTTTGATTCCACTATCGAGATAACTCAGAGACGCTAAAATTGTTTAACGTCGATATCTTTACACTTAGAAAAAAGTACTTGCTATAAAAAATTGTTGCTCTACAACAAGGACCTTTTTGGACCCGGAAAATCGACTTATGCATACAAACATTACAAACCGTTTGTAATGGACAAGTATTAAAAAATGACAAATAGTTTATGATTATAATTTTTGAATATTGACACGCGACTGAAAATACAACAACACGAACACAAAAATGTTATGAATCAAAGCGTGCAATGGTACCATTGACTTACAAATAGATGGACGACGGGTCTAATACAAAAACCACGAAAAAAATGTCCCAAGTCAACCTATTCGAAATTTAAATTGTTATGTCATCGCAGTATCGCGCTGTCCGTAGAACAAATGAAGACTAAAGCGGAGTGTCGCGCTCTGTATACGATTTTAGCGCCTTACAAGTGCGGACACTTTTTAGCGCGGACCCGACGTCCATATAATTGTAAGTCAATGAATGGTACGTTTGCCTTTATACGTAACATTTAAATTGAACCGTATAACAGTCACGGTAATGCAGTTCAAAGTCCGAAGCGAGTGTCAATCGTTTCTTGTATGTACCATCTAATACATTATAAACATGTGTAGCAATTGGTGAAATAAAATTAGATTATAAAAGTAGATGATAGAACAAATCTGTTAACAAGTCTGCAGTCTGCGAGCATGTCATGGATAAACCTACACATTCAATGAAGTTTGACAAGCCCCAGGACCTTGTGAAAGTCGGTTACCTACCCAGGTCGCTGCGAGAGGACATTGAAATTAAAAAACATCCTAATTTCAACAGAGAAGATGGTTTCTCCGTACCACCAGTTTGCGATCCAGTATTTCCTCTGATGAAAAATCCCAAACAGACATAAGACTGCAGTACTAATTAATACGTTTTCTAATTTTCATTATTAATTAATAATAAATTTAACTTAATAAAAATAATTTATAAAACATAATGTAGCGTAAATTGGAATGTTTCTTTGTAAAATTAAAAATAAGGTATTTAATTAATAACTTTTGTAATATAGGAAAAAAATTGGGTGGTTTGCATTAATGTTAGACATAACTGGTTGATGACTGTACCGCCTCAGTCAACCGTGACCTTGGGGCCTGTAAAGAGCCCGAAACGTTGGTTTGTTTGAAAAAACAAATATACGCGATTTTAATCCGAAAAATAGTTTCATTTCCTAAAATCTGATTTTTCATTACGTCGTTTCTTACCATTAACGCTAGTCACTTACAGTTTTTTTGTTATGAATTTTATGACAAAAAATGTAACACCCAGACACGTATGACACCGTAAGTGTAAACTCATCAATACGAAAGCTATGCTAGCAAACAACTATGTGCTCGCTCACTTCACTGATTCCTATTACGAAATTTCTTACGCAACATTGTTATGGCCGACCAGAAACAAACTCATCGAACCCGACATCTGATCTAGTTTAACTGTGCTCATAAAAATATTTACAACTTTTTACCTCCCTTTAGAGGAGACCTGTGCAATGTTGTGGAATGTTTACGAGTTAATATTTTATACTGAGCTTCGATGGATCAGCAGTTACAGGTAAAACACACGAGGTCCCCTCTCCTTAAGTAAGTAGCAGTAGAGGTCCTTGTGAAAGAGTTCGTCCAAGGAAGTACTGCCACCTTAGGGCGCGTTCCCACTATGTCGTCACGTTTTATTATCGTTGGACGATTGTCGTGTCTAGCCTGTTCCCATATCACGACTATCTGTCGTGGACGATTTTTTATCGTTGAACGACTGTCGTGACTAGCTTTTCCCACTAAATCGTGACGACAATAGGAGCTGCGACAATCTGTCATCACGTTTTCATCGTGACGTTTTTTTATCGTCTGACGACTGTCGTTCTAGCTGTTCCTACTGTGACGACAGTTTGTAGTTGTAACGGCAAAAAATTCATTATATCATTTCATTACACCGAAAACCGAATTAAGTATAACGAAACAGTTGTTCTTTCAGGATATGTTGGATGCTTATCGCAAAGACACGATTTGGTTCGGTTAAGTTAGGTTTAAAAGAAAAAAAAAATTTCCTCTCAAAATTACTTTCGAGGTTATGAAAATTCGACCAAACGTTATTTCGGGCTACTGATAGGTAACTATATTGAGTAGGTAGGTAGGTATATTGAGTGTATGCGTTACTATTATTTTAATTTCATTGCTTTAAACAATATTTTCACGGTTTTAAGTTTATCACAAGCGCCCTTTCAACTAACGGCGGCAGAACTGTTATGGACAGGCGTGTCGCTTACCACCAGGGGTACGACTTGTTCGTCCCGTCACTTAATACTATAAAAAAAACTCGATTTCCGGTTAAAGTAGGTACTTTAAGGTTTTGCCCGAGTGTCAGCATTCAAATCAGGCAGGTAATAAGTGGGCGATTTTCTGGTAGATTAGCCACTTCAGGTTTTATTATAATAATAATAATTCATTATTGTAAGTATTGAATTGAAAGAAATGTTGAATTTAAATAAGAAGTGTAAAGAAAGACATGCCGTAGATTGCTTTGGGCAGAAAAACATTATCATCATTATGACGTCACATATCAGCGACTCCATATTCTCATTATCTCGGTCTGATAATATCATGTCGTAACTTTATTATACTTCTGTTTTAGAATATTTCACAATAACAGAAAAGTATGACATTTATATTTCATTTATTTAATCAAGACGAAAGTCGAAAAAACTAATTTTCGACTTTGTTACTTATATAATTTCTTCAAGGAATCCTTAATGGATAAGTAATTAGCTTCTTCCTTCCACATCGCTATGCATACGCCATTATAACCTATAAAGCAAAAAAAAGAAACGTGTTGAAGCAACGAATAGTTATTTTCACTAATCAGAGATAATGAAACTATTTTTCCGGATTTAAATCGCGTATATTTGTTTTTTCAAACGAAGGAACGTTTTCGGGCCGTTTACAGGTCCCATGGTCACGGTTGACCACACACGGTTAATCACAGTCAACAATCGCGAAAACCTAAGAACTCGATATAATCAGAGAGAGTCAAAATGCCGATTTGTTGCTTGTTTAAACTCATCCCCACTACTCTAGTTTCGTTTGTTCAAACACTAGATATCATGTCACAAGAGTCATGACATCCGATGCAAATGTCACACTATGTCACATTTGTGGACGTAATGTGTGACGTAGTTCATGAATAACCATATGATTAATTCTTCTTTTCTAACAGTCTGGTACACCTGAGTATACCTATAGGCAAATTTGATGTTAATCCCTATTTTTAGGGTCAGTCGGTAATAAGGATGGTTTAGCCAACATGTAATTAATTAATTGGTCTTCTTACCTCCTCATCCCCTCTCTACTCTATTTTGACGTGTTCAGACACTAGTCACCATGTCATCATGTCATCGTCATGTCACTGTAGGGTAATTTTTCAAAAAAAAAAAACTAAAATGGTGGAAATTTTTCCGGAAAAATTCCCGAAAAATTGAAAAAAAACTGAAAAATATAATATTTAAATTATTATTCAGCGTGAATTATAAAATAAACTTGTTT